GCTCACTCCCTCTGCTGGTGCACCCGAGCCTCAGCTTTGGGAGCAAAGCAAAGGTTGCTGACTTGGTTGGGGCTTTCTGGTGAACCTCTTCCTCCAGTTTGAAGCACGATGTCACTCTCACTCTTTGTAAATAACGCGGAGCTGTTCAGATCCTGGTAGAGGTGCTTCAAGTGCTTTCCCAATCCGAATGTGCTGTGTTGACGACACCTGTGATGTCATTAGCCCAATTGCAAAAAAAAAAAACCCAAAAAACCCCCAAAAACAACCCAAAGAAAAGTAAAATCTATCCCTTCAGACTTGATTTCTAATCCTAGACACAAAACTACCAGTTTCAGCATTTTGGCAGCAGCTTAAGAAGCAAGCCTACTCAGGCTGATACTCATCTGTGCTGCTTAAGCAGCTAACACAACAGCAGCAACATGACTGCAAGAACAGTGTCAGGATCCACATGCACAATTCAGCCATAAGAGGAGCCAAAGAGCATCTCAGGACTTCCAGATCTTAGGCAGCGTTTTGTATCCTCACTGATCTAGAGTGCTGCCTTTCTCTGAAGCACCTGAACATGCACATACTTCATCTCGACTTCAGTGGGACTACTCCTTTGCTTAAAAAGTTAACCATATGCTTTGCTGAGAAAGGGCTCATGTGAGTTTAGGGTGCTAAGTGACTCTCAGTTCATCCACTGCTTCAGTTCTAGGCCTTAGATCTCATGGAAAAATATCATCTGTTCCCTTTCTACATGTTTTCAAGTCATTCAAACCTGCTTTGGTGTCAGTGGAGGACTTCTTGTTCTTCATAGTTCTTTGTTTTGTTCTTAAAAAAAGTTTTAGCTATGCCTGTATTTAATAAAAAGTTGTAAAGTCCCAGGACAGCATGCATCAGTACGCAGTGTTTGCGGCCTGTCTTTTCAGGGCTTTAGGCCAGTGTATTATTACATCTGCTGTACTCAGTAGGAATTGAATGGATATCTGAGCTGTATCATGCACTTGCTGCACAGGCAGTCCCCTCCCGTGAACTTCATGGAAGCTGCGTACGTTTAGCTGAAAGCAGACTGACTGCATAATCACACCACTGCTTGCACACAAGTGCACCTGCATATCGAAATCCCACTCAAAACAACTGACTTTAAGTTCTTGAAAAAGTGGTTTCATTTCTCTATGCCTGACATTACCTAACAAAAGTTTTGTGCATTAACAAAATGCTTTAGGAATAGGAAAACGGTTTAGACATCCTAAGAAGGCTTTACCATCCTTACACAACCACCACACAGATTCAGGCAGTATTATTTAAAACTTTTATTAATCTTTCATATTACACTGGTCTGGAAAACATTTTTAACCTCTATGAGTAAGATCTGCCTTTAGCTCAGCTCAAGCCCTAGGCCAGCAAAGCACTTTTCAAAACCATGGAGCTGTTTGAAGTGATGCAAGTGCTTTGCTGGATCATGGCCTTATTCCACAATTCCCACATGTCCTGTTCACTCAGACAAATCAAGGCTTTCAGAACTGCTCCGAGTGTATTCTACTGACTGAGTCTCCCCTGTCAACTTAAGAACAGGTAGGATATGTAAGAAAGATTTCTTACGGTCTTGCCCTTCCCTTCTACCCACTCAGGTTTTAGAGTTATTCCTGTTCACCAAAAAAAACCACCTTCCAGCTATATATGCTGGATTTCAGTTTCTGTAACGTACTTTTTTCCATCTTGTTCATCTTGTTCATTCATTGTACTTAGCTAGTTTTAGCCTAGGTATGATGTTCATTGACTGCAGTTCTTGGAATAAGAGTTTACAGGCATAAGGTATGCGCAGAGAAGACACATGACATGATGATTTGCAGTAGTGGCACCTAGGGAAACAAACAAAAAGAAAGTCAGAGTTGGTGCGTAAACGAATCTCTGCAGAAAAAAAACCAAAACAGTTGCCACTATCCACTGGTTTCTTTGTCCACCTGCATTTAAACACTGGGCTTAGTCCTAGAAAAGAGACAAGTGCTTGAGACACATTTTAACGCTTAAGTAAGCCATAACTTTAAGCCCTTAAATAATCTGACTGAAATCAATAGGAGCTTAACGTTAAACCTGCACTTTTCTTGGAGGAGAATCACAGTGCTGAGTAGCTAACAGGGCTGACTTCTTTTTCACTGCTCACATAACTGCCAACAGTTGGCTAATAAGAGAAAGGAGGTGAACAAAGCTAAGTATTTCTGAAAACAAGGTTAATGGTCCGATTTCTGTCCTATATATATGTCACAAAAGAGAGGCAGGAAGAAAGAACGTTCACGCTTAGGTTTTTCCCTTATATGTTAATTTCACCCTATAATGTCTCAGTTCATACTCCAGAAAAGAGACATCTCTCATCTTACGTCTCCGTGTGAACAGCCAAAGCTTTAGTCAGGTTGGGAAACTAGTAAAACTGCTTTAACACATACTCTTTGCACTCTTTACTCAAATAACGATCTTAAAATTCTGAGGGAAAGGGATTTTTTGTCATATAGATATTACCTTGATATTCATCAATGACCCTGATGAAGGGACAGAGTGCACCCTCAGCAAGTTTGCTGGTGACACAAAACTGGGAGAAGTAGCTGACACACCAGAAGGCTGTGATGCCGTTCAGCGAGACCTGGACAGACTGGAGAGTTGCACAGAGAGCAACCTAATGAGGTTCAGTAAGAGCAAGTGTAGGGTCCTGCACTTGGGGAGGAATAACCCCAAGCACTAGTACAGGCTGGGGGTTGACCTGCTGGAGAGCAGCTCTGTGGAGAAGGACCCGGGAGTTCTGGTGGACAGAAAGTTGACCGTGAGCCAGCAATGTGCCCCTGTGGGCAAGGCGGCCAACGGTGTCCTTGGGTGCATTAAGAAGAGTGTGGCCAGCAGGTTGAGGGAGGTTCTCCTCCCCCTCTGCTCTGCCCTGGTGAGGCCACGTTTGGAGTGCTGTGTCCAGTTCTGGGCCCTCCAGTTCAAGAGGGACAGGGAACTACTGGAGAGAGGACAGCGGAGGGCTATGACGATTAGGGGACTGGAGCACCTCTCCTACGAGGAAAGGCCTGCGGCTCTTTAGCCTGGAGAAGAGAAGACTGAGAGGGGACCTCATCAACAGTTACAAGTATCTAAAGGGTGGGTGTCAAGAGGATGGTGCCCAGTGACAGGACAAGGGGCACCGGGCACAAACTGGAACACAGGAAGTTCCTCCTGAACATGAGGAAAAACTTCTTTTACCCTGAGGGTGGCAGAGCACTGGAACAGGCTGCCCAGGGAGGTTGTGGAGTCTCCTACTTTGGAGATATTCAAAACCCACCTGGACAGAGTCCTGTGCAACCTGCTCTGGGTGAACCTGCTTTAGCAGGGGGGTTGGACTAGGTGGTCTCCAGAGGTCCCTTTCAAGCCCTCCAGTCTGATTCTGTGATATAAGGAATATATAGGCTGGTCACTCAGCATCTTTCCAGTATCGGGACTCAAATTCAGTGGTAGTAGCAACTGTTTAAATTCTTTAATTTCATACTCTGTGTACACACAAAGAAACTAAAAATGTTTCTTAAAAATATCAGTTTTTCAACCTCCCTATTTCCTCATTCTCCTGTAATTCCACCTTCTGGTTTTGGAGAGTTGAGAAAGCCAGGCCTTTGGGAACAGAGAGCAATGCAGCACTTCCTAACGGTCTAACAAAGCTCTTTTTTCCTTTCTGTGTTTCAAATTTATATTTCTGCCATAAAGTCATAACAGTCTGAAGATCTAAATTAAGGAATTCCTACATTCTTCTGTGGTACAGAATGAGGCTGAGAGTCAACATCTATAATATGGCCAACGCTTAGTCACTTGTTTCTGTTACTCGTGAACTTGACATAGAACACATGGAAGTCAAAGGGGACAAGTCCAATAAAGTTGGTTAGTGTTAACAAAGTTCTTGGTTATAAGAATTGGCATTAGTCTTCCAGTTACTTTTTCAGACTCTGCTACTTCTCTTTTACAGACATACTTAAAAAGCATGTGGAAGAGCTGGTTATTTTCCAAGAAAACTGTTGTTGCCTTCACCTCCACATATATACTTGGGGTATTTATTTTTTCTTTTTTAAAACCAAGAAAGCGCTCAACCAATGGTACAGAAGCCTTAATTACATTTCTGCAGTTCATGATGAGGAATGAAGCTTCACTTATCCCTAGTAATTGCTTTGGCTTTGTCTAAATCTGACTATAGGCACTAAGAAGGTTAATAGACTGAACTAGCTGTTTCCCTGGAACAGGCTTCTCCTGTAGACACGGTTACATAGGGAAAATGTTACAGCTAGCATGCCTTTAAAACAGAACAGAACTCAATTGCAGGTTTATAACCACTCCCCTAGTCCAACTGTGTAGGGACAGGTACATTTTTACGGTGCGAGGAAGTGACCTAAGCAGAAGCCATTTTCCGATGCTAACACAGCACGCAATTGCTCTCAACAGCAGCAGCGCTGCAAGCCCTGGAAACCTGATGAGGCACAACTTTTCATCTGATTACAGCTACTATGGCCTGAGGAGCAGAGACTACTCACTACACCAGGCTCAAAGGTGCACCATTCTGGGCCTGCTTTGTACTTGGATGGGGATCACCCAGGAAGGTTAAGGTGCAGTAAGGACAAAGCACAAAGCTCTGTCAAATAGAGATCACAGAAACTGAAGTACTAGAAAGGCCATTTGGTACTAGAAAGGCCATTTGGTACTAGAACTGATACTAAATTAGACAGAAAAGGCAACTGTGCCAAGGCTGAATTTGGATGAGAAACAAATTTTTTCTTCATGTATATTTTTAATTGCTCAGACTCGAGGGATCGGAATAACTTCTCATCGTCAAAAAAGGACCAAATTCTGCTCATTCCATTCAGTGGAGTCCTGCCCCTGAGCACCTGTACAACAGAAAGGTTAGAAAATGGTGTAAACCTGGTAGGTCACAGTAAGTTTCTACTGTATTTTTCACGGGGACAAATTCTGTCACTGCCACAACAGTCCCCTTCCCCTGCGAAAGTACCAGTTCAGGCCCCAACACAGATCTGCTGTTATTGTTTTGCAGAAAAACATACCCAGTGGCTAGTCCTTGTCTGGGACGAAGGGCTCATCTTCCTTAAGACAAGTGCCCTTAATGCTAACCACAAAACAGTATGTTTCTAAAAGGTTTCTTGCAGCAAAGTCTTATTAATGCCAGAATCACTGAAGAGGCCCATTTGGAAGTATCTCTTAATGGCTTGGTCTCTGCTGTGATGCTCATTATAGGGCCACTTGCTTCAGCTACGAGTAGACACAGAATATCATTTAGCACAAACTACCTCTTATCGATTACTCGCACATCAGACAGCTTTTCACAGAATCAGATTGCAAGAATGTCTGGCTCTGAGAGTAGTTTCTTTCATGGTTATTTAATAAGAGTTACTGAACTTTGTTACAAACTTCAAAATGTGAAATAAGTTAACAACACCTTAAAAATAAAATGTAATACTATTTCTAAACTTCAAATTCCTAATTCTCTTCCAGATCTTTGAAAATCTTCAAGGACTGCTCTGAAAGCCAAGGTCTTATAAAAAAATAATAGAGCTACATCTGCATGTGAGTTTTTTAAGGCAGCGCTTTACACAGTTAGAAGTGGTTGGTTGTTTGACTTATGGCATGCCCTTCCTTTCAGACAACTTCCTTCCAACTGTTATTTACTTTGCAGTAGTTTTAAGACCTGGATCAGAAAAAGGCCTCACTTGTTACATACAGTGTACATACACTCAAGAAAAATGGGACTCTCAAAAATACTTACTGCAGAAAAGCCAGTAGGACAATGTCCAACTAAAAATCACCAACCACCATGGGATGCACAGAGTCGGCCTTATCTCTCCTCTGGATTTCATATGTGTTTACCTACCTATATGTGTCTGAACTTCTGCTCCACAAGGAGCAGAACTGATGCTGCTGTTAGCAGACAAACGCGGTGCTTGGTTTCTGGCCAGAAGCCATGCCCTTCAGAAGAAAGGTCTGACCAAGGGCAGAAACAGTGGCTGTCACTTTTACACACCGACAAACTGAGAACACACCTTACTTTCCTACTTCTGTATTTCATGGGAAAAAATCACTCTCGAATCACTTCACTTCAGTGAAGTGATTAAAGTCCAATTTCCTGCCTCTCCCAGTAGATTGATACTGATATCCAAGATGTGGCAAGTTTCCAACGATCTTCTTTTGAGGTATTTAGAAATGAATCTTTCTCCTCCTCCTCCTTCCAATTCCCCATCTTCTTGCAACATAAATATTAGAATAACTTGTAACTTGAACTCGCAGCATTTATTTTTTCCTCCCTCAGTCATGGGATTCCAGGTCACCTGTTTTCACAATGTGTGCAAGAACGTTTTATCTCATAAATTCCTATCGGTGTCACAAGTCTGTTTTTCTGCCTAGCTAAACCAAAACGAAGCTAAAGCAAAACATTTCCCTCACCTCTGAAGAACATAAAAAGAAGTTTCCCTATTAATAGTGGTGTATTTCCAGCATGCTACAGGGCAACTTTAAATCTAGCATCTCAGAATTACTGCAAAGAAAAGATGGTTAGAGCTAAGCCCATAGTGTTGCACACAGTGTTATGCAGGAGATGTTGCTTTCTTCTACCATTCTTCTGTGCCCACTCTCTCTCTTCAGCCTTGTGAAATTCAACATGTGATTGTAAGGATCTGTGACTAGCCTAGCTAGCAATCTCACTTCTGATGTCAGAAGAATCAAGTACGTTGACACAGCTAATGTTCCCTTTTCAAAAAACCAGATGATACACAGGATTGGGCGTTTGCTGATCCCCTGCAAGGCTGGGAAGGAAGGCAGCAGAGTGAAGGCAACCTTTCCCACATGCACAGCTGGCTATGGAAGACAATACCTGTGCTCCCACAACAGGAGAAACCCCTGGCCCATAGACTACACACTCACTTTAGTCCTAACTTCAATCAGACCATAACAGCGAGCCATCCCATCACCAATCGTCCAAATACCAATTTTGAACGTTGACACTGGTTTTGATTAAGGTGCATGGGACTGTTAATCTGTGTCTGTGAACACTTTAAAACTGAGAAGCACTATAACCAACAGCAAGGTTCTGTTACATAGAGGCGTGTTTACTCTGTACCACTTTGCTTTATGCACCTGAGGTCAAGGGTTTTTTTTTTGAAAACATGAAACATGTCACATGAACAAAGCAAGGGGGTGCACCATAATTTACAAAAAGCATTGCAGTTGGACAACTTACCAGCCAGAGTACCCCAGCAAGCCACACTGTCCACAAACATCCACTTCAAAGGCATCACTTGAAATCATCAGTCTCTCCAACAAAAGCATGCTGGCTCCATAACCTATCAAACAATCCCGTTCCATCTCTCCAAGACGTAAACCACCATCACGGGATCGACCTTCAGTGGGTTGCCTTAGAAATAAATATTGGAAAAAATGTAGTAAGTATTCCAGAACATACACTCTACAATTCTAGGAATGCTGGTCTTCAAACTGTAGGAACAGTACACGATCAATGGACAAAAGCCTTCCAGAAACCAGAGCTGCTGATCCTGCAAACGTGTTATTCAAGTTGAAGCAAGTCTTTGCTCCTGCACTAGCAACATGCTGTAGTTCTGAGAGCGGCAACTGCAGTGCCAGGACACAACTCTTTACCTCACAGAATGTAGCTGAGCAAGTGAAAAACAAAAGGAGGCTGAACAGTATCCAAGACAATCTGGACACAGATTTGGTATTTATCTTTTTTGATAAGACATTCATTATAGTTTGTAGCTAACTAAACGAAATAATATTCAGCAGCTAATGAATGAATCATCAAGCTAATGTTTCAGCTGAACTACAGCTAAGACTAAATTCTTAAAATAAAACCACTTTTGATCTGAGAGAGAATACCAGAACAAAGCAGCAAACAAGCACTAACTCATTATTGAAATCCTACTTTTTTTTTTTTTTTTTAAATGTAACATTTATCTAGTTTATTTTTTTGATGTCTGATGGTTAATAGACTAAGTTTTGTATTGTATAGGTTCCTGGTTTTCTAGTTCCTCGACACAAATCAAACTCTCATTTTTTGTCTGGAAAGATTTCTTGTCCTCACGGTGCTAGCGGAAAGTTTTAACAAAGCAATGTAAGGAAACGCTAAAGATTTTGAGGTAAAAAGGGCAAGGTGTGATATATTATTTAACATTATGACTGTTTAAGCCTTTTTTTTTTTGTTGGAAACAGTCAAATCTTTTAACCTCTTGTTCATCATACTGCAATTTTGTACAGTATCAGTTCTCTCATGTACCAGCACAATGCTGTCATACTTAGGTTGCAACTATTAGAGTGAGCTATGAAGCAAAACCTTTCTTCAATTCCTGAAGCACTAATATATTGCATGTGTTTTATTAAATATTTCCACCTTAGTACATTCCCTGAAACATGACAGCAAAGAGAAGGAATTAAAATAATGTTGTTGGCAACCGTAAGAGGCTTCACTGCTCAGTGAAACCCCACATTTATGTGCTGTTTCAGATACCTGCAGCAGTGTAATCCACCTACAATATCCAGTGACAGATCTGGCCCATAACTTTTGGAGTATATTTTGTTCGTATTATTTCAAACAACTGAATCCGTTCGTTAAGCATACTAAATATATCAAAAGTGTTTGCCAAGTTACTGCAACTCAGAGAAAAGGATTTATAAAAGCCTTCAACATCTAATAATCTTTTGTAACAAGTGTAAAAAAATATACCAGACAAAAATACCTTCTGAAGATGCAAGTTGTATTTGTTTTTAGGGGGAAGTAGTTTCCCTTACTCTGGCCACAGTGGAACCTTAAAACTAATCTGCTTGTAATTCAAATTGTCCTTTTCAGTCATATAACCTTCTATTTTTCCCACTGTTGGGAGAATGGATAGAAGTTGTTTACATCCTGATTAAAGTCCCTAGGGCCCCCTCCCCAGATGATGGTACCATCACTGTTCAGATGGTGTTTTAAAGGACTAACCCCGTGGTGAATGCAGTTTCTCTTCTGAAGTCCCAAGAGACAGATTTTAAAAGCAGTTGGGGCCTCCAAAGATACAGGCATTTGCTGAGGTGCTAGAAGTGCCCGAGCTCCTTTAACCAACCGACTTCTATAATATTAGTTAATGCACAAGCCTACTTTCAAAAGTTTCACCAGGTGCTGTTCCGCAGGATGAAATGCTTTATAAGTGGGAGTCCCCATAAAGTCTCGATCCAATTAAGGGAGGATAAAACCTCTTGAAAAACGATGTGGTCTCAACTGCAGCCCTTTAAAGTTGATATGCCATGGGTCTTCCAACAGATAACAGGATGAAGATTTCTAAGGCAGTTGAAATTCTATTAAAGAAACTCACAAAAAGCCCTCTAAAACAAGAAAACCCAACTTGAGTCTTAAGCTCTTAAATGTTTCACTCCCGCTGTCAAAATGACCTCATTAAAAAAACCCAAAACAAACAAAATCCTCCCTCCCTAAAAAGTAGTTTTCTAAAGTACTAAAAATTTCAGTACTGAGACTGGGCCTTTGAAAAGAGTCTATCTTATGGTCCCTAAGTCTAAAAGATTTTTCTTCCGGTTCACATGAGTTTGAAAATTCCTCACACCAGAGGCTGTTTAAAATGTTAAAACAGTATTTATAAAGCATTTGTGCTTCCCCTTTCCTGCTAGACACACATACACTGCAGCTGTTGCCCTAGGCAACTCCTTCCATTCTTTATTCTAAATATAACATTCTGAAAACAAAGCAGACTCTTGAAAATAAGATTGGGAATTTAATGAAAGAGAAATATTTTTCATATTTAAAAAAAGAAAAGTCAGCCTTAAAATTCTTAAATGCTAAATAAAATGCAGTGCTTCTTTAAATAAAAAGATAAGGCCAAATGGTCTTCATACTATTTAACTGCTACATTTAGAAAAAAGCATAAAACAATTAACTTCCGTGTTTCTAAGCACATTAAGAATTTATTGGTGCTAATTCTGCATTTTCTGGAAGAACAGTGGGTTCAGCTTTATGGCCCTGTTCCTTGTTTCGTTGGCCAGTGGGGGAAAAATAAGTCTACCCCCGTGAGTAAGAGCAGGCCTTGTAGGTCTCAGCAGATCTCCTTTGTGCCTGTTACGGAAAATGAGTGGCTAACTTGAAATGGAGTCGTTCGCTGAGACTGATCTCCAAGAAGCGGAGTATTACCTAGAAAATCACTGCCTGAAGGAGGGGGGCGTACCATGCTCCCAGAGTGCGGAGAGGAGTCCTGACCAGTGTCATCACATTACTCCCTTGCAGTATAATGGGAACTGGCATATCTGATAAGTTCAAAAGACATGCAGGTGGCAGCTCTGGCAATGTCCATCAAACCAACTATGCAAGCAGAAAGGTTATATTGATCTCTTGTAAGGAAAACTAAAAGCAGTTTATCTATTAAAAAGATTTAGCAGGACTGGGTATCTAGGCAACACCATATATAGAACTATGTTTTAAATTAATTGTCAACTACTCATGGCAAAATAAATTAAGCATTCCATTTCATTTAACAAACACCAATTCAGAGGGCAACATCCTGGTGGTTTTTGACTCTGCTGACAAAGAGCGCTGCTTTGCAATTCTGCAAAGTCTTCTTTCAATCAGAACAATATCTAGAACTAGTGACATTCAAGAAACTCAAAGTCTGCCTTATTCCAGATGGAAATATAGCTCTGCTCTGTCAGTTAAGGTACATTTGATACATAATTAAAATGCATTGCAAGACAACAACAGACAAATTCCATGCTGGAAGCTGTTACAGGATTACTTTTAAAAACAAAAAACAATGTTAGAGGCAATCTACTCTCCAGGAAGTGCAATGGATGATAAAACAATAGTTGAGTATGAAAGCTGGCAAAGCAGACGCTCTCAGCAGAGGCAATGGCAGTAACAAAAGTTTAATTAGTTGAAAAGGAAAAAGAAAATTCCTAAAAGACTAGTCAAGAGGCAGCATAAATTGAACATCCGCTAGCGTTCCTGAAAGTCAAATAAAGAGCCCTAGCTACATAGTATGATGCTACTGACTGGAACAAAGAATCCAAAGAAAGTAAGGGATGGGGGAAATCACGCCACCTTTATCTTTATATGTAAATATTACCTTGACTTGGGATTTAGGTTTCCTTTACATTCAATACCTCTAAACAGCTGAGAAGCTGGGGAGACAATACAAAAACAGATCAAGGGATTTGGGTAAGCTAGGAGCTCCAGTAAACCAATTGCGTGCACCGTTAGCTAAGACAGCAAGTTTTCTTCTTCATGGGAAGCACCAACACCATGACTAACACATCTGAAGAACAGAAAATGGGGCAGACAGCCCATTATTTGGGAATATCACTTACATTCACACAAGCAAGCAGCTGTGGTAGGAAATAATGGTTGTGCTACCTTTGGTCTTCTTAACGTGGCTGGTGGAAAAGTTCAGCCAAGAAATACAAAAACTTTTCATGATTTTTCTCCCAGATCAACCGCTGCTATTTAAATCCATGGAAAGTGTGAGGTAACTTCAGTTTGTCCTTTTGGAAAGCCAAAAGGCATAGGAAATACGCGATGAAAGGCAAAAGAGAAAGATACTTTCTGTATCAGGTACAGCAGAGACCTGCCCCTCCATTCTCTACTAGCACATCAACAGGTAGAAGCTGCACCAATTAAGAGGACAGACTTGCTAACTTGCGGTGCAGTCAGGCAAGGCAAGAGAAGTGGATCAGCCCATGGCAAGAGGCACAAAAATAAATTAAGAGTTAAAGAATGTGAATCATGCTTGTTATCGGGAAGAGTGAGGGCAGGATAGATATGACTGTGCTTACATCTCAAAACCAGTACAAACAGGGACTGATCAAAAAGAAGAGAACCACCATGCAGCAGGTGAGGTATAAATGCCGTACATGATAGCCCAGAAAGACTGGCAAAGGACATTTGGAATAACCTTTGCTAGAATATTCAAGACTAGCTGGCAATTAACTTTCTGGCAAGATTTAGCAAATAATCCTACTGTGATGGAGAGAGGTGAACTAAACGATCCACTAGAAGCTTCCCGAAAGCAAAGCCTGTGCCACTAAACTGTTCCTTGTGAGCCAGAAATATCAGCAATTTAGAACATGAGTGCAAGGAGCCATAGAGCTTGGCTTTAAGAAGAAAAGGTAACATCAGTGAAAGCAGGATGCTTCAAAATCCCACAAAGGTCCAGACAACATAAGCTCACCTCCAGGGGCTTATATTACCTGTTACTCAGAGTACACCTGCTTCACTTCAAAATCTGACACCAGAAGACATCAACATGGTAATCAATCTTTTTGTTGGAAAGAAAACCAAGTTCAGGCTTAGTGAAATGATCATGACTCCAAAGAAACTGAGGACATATCTTTAACTGGGCAAATAAAAATGGAGATTTACTGTTGGCATGTCTGTAACTTCTGCAATTTGTTAGTGTGAAAGTGATATTCTCCTGCATGGTATTGAATGCTGACTGTGGACCAGCACGTACAACCCTAAATTCAGTTTCTGAGTTGAACGGAAGAGTCTGCAAGGCAAAATGCAGTGTACCAGGGCTGCACATTATTCTAATGCTTGTTTGCACTACACTCGGGCCAGTGCATCTGCTTTGCCTTGACAGGTGAAGACATGGGGCACATCAATGTTAACCCGCTGAATACCAAAGGATGCTGAAATATTAAATTTCTTCCTTCTGCTCATGCTTGGTTTTGTAAAAGGTCAAATGTGAAAAAAAAAAAATCCTAAAATAACTATGATATGAACAATCTGACAGGAGAGGGCCACAGTGTGCACTGTGAATCAGCAGATGGTATTTTTACCAAATGCTAACAGAAGCCTGAGAAACATACTCATTTTTGGACCACATAGAGCACACCTGGACTTTCAGAACAACCTCCTGCCACAGTCTACTGTCAGAGCTTTTAGTCTGTAACAGTGTATTAACAAGTAAGAGTATTTTGTGTCAAGTATAAAAAGGCAAACAAACTTTGTTTTATACTCTTCAGTCAGCTGGGCACACTTCTGAATGTACACAAGAATTTTGCACTTAGCCTGTAACAATACCTGGTGAGCACTGCTCTGGGTCCTCGGGCTCTTGCATGCATTTTATCCAACACCATGTGCTTTAGTTTCTGGTAATACACAGGGCCAAAATAGATATATGCTTCCAAAGGTTCCCTGGAGGAAAAGAAAAAAACAAAACCAAAATAAAACCAATATTCATAGTCAGCAGACACTTACCTAAAGAGAGACAAGAGTGTCACGTACAGGAGGAATCTGAAACAATATGGGAATCATGAGTCCTAGAAAAATGCATTTGGGCTTTCAGTCTGAAAACCAGCAATCAGTCTGAAAACCACAGGGAACCCTTCTGAACACAAGAGGAGTATACTTCCAGCACCACATCCTGCTGTATCCACCCTAGCGAGGAACAAGTTCCTGAACTCTGGCCACACGCTGTGCAGACAGGCTGCTGTAGCTGCAGGTGTCTGTTTCAGCTGTACTGTGTTAAGTCCCTCCTCTGTCTGCGCAGTTTTTTTCAACAGTGTCATCAGTAACTGACAAAGACTGTAAAGGTGTCAGGCCCTGAAGAGTGACTTAAGATATTTCTATTTACATTCCTTCACTTTACACCATTCACGCATAAAACAAAGGTAAGCATATATGCAAACAAAACCATGCAGCATAAATGCTCAAAACATCATTTTTATAGGAGCACTTTAAGGAATTTGCATTTGCAAGGACAGCTTAGCACTGGCACACTATGAGCTTGACAGTCTACCCACCCACTAATTCTCCCTGCCCGCCACTTTGATGCACAACCCAAGACCCAGATGGGTGAAAGCCCTCCCCGAGCGGCTGTGCCCCTGCAGCACTGCTCGGCAACTGTAGCCACAGGACAAAAATTGCTGCCCTGGCTGGCACTGGGGACTCGGACGAGCCAGGTAAAAGGGCTCTTGAGAACCGTGTTTGGGCACTTGCATCAGCTTGGCAACATCTGTGAGCAGTACGGAGGGTGTTACTCCATGCTATGAGCTGGAGAAATGGCTAAAGATTTCTGTGTTTAAAACACACCCCAACTGTAAGAAGAGTGTAAGTGCCTAAAGATCAGAAAGCAACAGTTGAAAGCAGTCAGTCATTTCCCAGCTACCACCTTCAGCACTAAGAATGACCAGATTTAACACAAACAAGCTCAACACTGCCACTGATTTATTTAAAAAAAAAAAAAAAAAGTATGTGCAATGTAAAAACAAGCAGGTGACAACAGTATTTCACCTCCCGTTCAGAGTTGTTACTGACATGATACAGCATTATTCCAAAAGCTGCCTATTGAAGAAAATAATAAAACTTAACTGTGCATTTCAAATTTCAAAACTTCCACATTGTTATGAAATCTGCCTTCAAATTTCATAACAAATAGATTAAGCATGTGAAATTTGCTTGGAAGAATACCAGTATCCTAGAGCAAAGTCTCTAAATAGGGTACTACAAAGTTTGGGGACAGGGGATTTTGAGAGCTAGATGATTTTACTCTCCCTGGGAAACAAGATTAGTCAGATTAGTTAAAAGTTACCATGATGTATCAACAGAAAGTGTTTCAAACACCAGGATACTTGATAGACAATTTATGGAATACGGAGTGGGTAAGGAAAACAAAATCAACTCTCTGAAACAAAAAGAGAAACAACATATGGAACAAGTTGGTAGGAAAAGCAATTAAAATAAAAAGTATTTTAAAAAAAAACAACTTCCAAAAGAGACCTAAACTGGTTCCTTGCGAAGAAGGGGACTGGGAGGATAATGAAAATAGCAGGAAGGTAGGATTAAGATACATTTTGGAAGGGCAGGCATGTGAAGCCATATGGCCTTTTCCTGTTCCTAAACTATCTTATGTTCTTTGAACTCTGTGTCTCAGAAGCCAGTCCGATCAACACAGCAGGAAGTTTGCAGATTAGAGTATTATGCCAGACTGAATCATTGTGTAATCAAAAGAAGAAAAAAAAAATAGAAAAGAGCGCACACAAAATATTCCCAAGGAACAGACACCTGCCTCCAAATCCATATTTTACAGTACTATTAAAGTCAACATGAAAAAGCTTATCTGATTCCAAGCATAAATAAGATTTCCTGCCAACAGATAACTGCCATTTCTTACAATCTCTCAGAAAGAAAACTTTGATTTTACCTTTTTTGTCATGCAGTAGAAGTTGGGAAATTTTCATACGTACTACAAAGGCCATTCACATTACCGCCACACAAATACTAGTAATGCTTAAGATTTGGAACCACAAAATACTTCTAAGAAAAAAAAAAGTGTATCATTCTTCAGCCCCTTCCCTCCATCACACAGAGTGGTTTGCAACTAAGAGAAAGTTCCTGAGCTCTGAGACATGAGAATATTTTTCAGATGTGTCTCAACAGGATTTCCCCACTCCCCTGAAACATCTAAATCTATACAGCAGATTCTTACCCAGTGATACCAGATGTTACGTAGTCCTTCCCGAGGTAGTTATAACCATGGCGAATAAGATCTTCACACACATCCTTAACTTTACTGCCTCCAAAAGCTGTTCCATAGTGAAATCTGCCATCGAGGACCCCAGCCTTTCCAGCCAGGAGTTCAATTAACTTTCCTACCTGCGCAAAGAAAAACAGAGTTAACAGCCTGCTCACTAGTACGGGCACATGGCTGGATTGGTCACAGCGTGAGTTAGCCAGGCAAAGTGTCCGCCATGGCAGCCTGGGTTATTGCATGCAATGGGAGAGTGAAAGAAGCCCAGGAACAGGGACTACTCCTGTGTGAAGGGGGAAAATCGGACTCATCACAGGGTCCGGGAACACCTTTAAGGTCCAGTCAGGCAGCTCCATTTTTTCCAGTTGCCTGGAAAATGAGGAAGATCCAGTGTAGCCTTCTGCTCTAGGGAACAGCCTCAGAGATTGACACGCTACAGTGCAGTAGGGGGAACAGAAGGGAAGAAGCTAACAAAGAAAAAAAGATCAGAGGCTGTACAAAGTAATCAGTGGAGGTCCCATATAAAGGCCACGCTGTGAGGTATTTAGTGTGACCCTGCAGCACAGGTGCAAGACTTGCATCAGTTCCAGGGAGGCATGTGCAATGTAAGAAGTTATACAGGCCTAGAACCATTGCTGACACTCCTCTCCAACCTTCTCCTCACACTCTGCCCCAGCCGGCTTAATGGGCATAGGCAACAGGGAAGGAAGAGGGAGAGCAGGAAATTTTCAAACAGAAAGGGTGCAAGCGAGGTATTTGGTTGCTTTCTTGTTAGCTTGACACGGAACAAAATGCGAATGATGCACAAACAGCCCGCACCCCACTGCTTTTACACTAGGATGTTTCAAAACACGCAAAACAGAGGGCTGAATACTTATAGGAGAGCAAGAGCATGGCATGATGACTGGAAAACAGTCTCAGTGAAACCACGTTTCAAACTTTTTTTTGTTTGTTTCTTCCGGCTAACATACTTCACTTCCCCTACCAGAAGCCACACTCTCTTTACTTGTAACATAACCACTAACCGTCATTCGTGATGGGAAGCCATGAGGGTTCATTATGATATCTGGACAGATTCCTGTATCACAAAATGGCATGTCTTCCTGAGGAACAATCAGTCCACACACCCCTGCAGAAGAGAAAACATTTCAATTCACAAACAGCAAACCACCAGCAGGGCTGACGCTCATCACCAGATTTTCTTTAGTGTTTTCCTCCTCCTCTCTTTCTCACAGATCACTTTTTACCCAGATTCATTACCATGACCAGTGCTCACAACCTGCAGGCTAGAAGAGAGCCCTTGTGACAGGACTGGCAAAATTAGCATACCCTTACAAAATGCTCCCAGTGATTTGTGAGTTAGCAAATTAGGGAAGAAAGCTTTAGAAACAGTTTTCAGAGGCAAACAGAAACTTCTGACCAGTCAGAATGGAACATCTCAAGGGAGATCTAGTTTTTAAAGCTGATGCTAAAATTTCCTGAAAAAAAAAAGGAAGAAATTTGGCCTCTTACAGTACCTCTTTGGACATACAAAATAATTATTGATTTGAAATTTATCATATGTATCTTTGCTAAATACTGTCAATAAAACCAAATCAAGTCAGGACTTCAACAGGGACTGAGAGGAGATAAGTAGGTGAAAAGATTTTTTCAGGTAGTATTCATTTGCTGAGCAAAGACTGCTTTTGATGAATTACAAAGTATAATCAACTCCCCAGATTTCTTATACTTCGTCAGTCCATGAACACAAACTGTGCCTTTAGAAGTTTTGGAAGCTTTTTTCAGTCTCCATCAATACTGGATGTAAAACAAAGGAAACCCCTAAACTCCAAAACTATTCAGGAAAGATTAAACAGAAACATGAAAACTCATTTAAAATAGTCTATCATACATCCCAAAAGTTTCCTTCCAACCCTCACAACTGTTTCTACAGTGAATTCTGCAGACCAAAATACTGCAGCTGTAAATGACCAAGAGATCTAACATCCAAATTCAGGTGCTAAAATGCAGCTGCTTAAGCCCATACTCCTTTGAACCAAAGCTACTGTTTCAGTTCGACAATTTCTTCCAGAAGCCCTTAGAGCTGAAAAAGTCTGCAAGCTATTTGAGATCAGCCTGCTGCAACTGCCAGAGCACGCTTTGGGAACAGTCCTGGAGTGGAGGGGGCTCTTGGAAGACTGAGGGTGCTGGTTACATCCCTAAAAAGGCATCCCCGGACCAGCCAGTTCACAGGGGGATATTGGCGTCTGCTCAGGAGGGAGCTCCTCTTCCACTGTCCAAGCAAGACAGGGATAGGTGTATGGGACAGTAGTTAATAGCATGAGAATTCTAAGTATGGGGGAAGGGAGCAGGGGGAAAAAAAAAAAAAAAAAGGATTGGAGCATCTGGGGCAAGGGGGGGGGGGGGGGGGGGGAGTGGTGGTATTTAGTTTTTAAACCTATTGAAACTAATTTTCATTGTTCTATTTGATAAATCAATAACATCCTTCTACTCTCCCTGCCAAGCAGCAATCATTTGCTGAAAATGAAAAAAACCACCAACCCATTAAATCTTGTGCACACAGATTTTTATCCTAAAACCGCATATATCAATACTTTATTATACGTATTATGGCACGTACGCTTCGCCTTATTTGCATTTACTTCTAAGAAAGCATTAGGTTGCATCTAGGCTTCACGGCACCTGTAAGCCAAAAATTAAATCTTAGCTAACTTAAAATTACTTTAGGCTCTGAAAACCTTTTATACGCCAAGCTGGTTCCCATAGCAGACAGCCACTGTGTTGTTTGTTTTGTGTGAAAGTGAATGATAAAAGATCCATGAAATCGACACAGAAAGGCAGAACAGCAGAAAGAACTGAGGGCTCTCCATCATAGCGGCTTCTACCCTCCGCTGACTTGTATAACAATGGGACCTACACACCCAACTGCAGATCTAACACAGCTGTGCATTTCATTAGATGAAGAGCACTAGTGACACAAGTAAATAATTAACTTATTCTGGTCCGCTGACTGTGGTTATGAGACCAGTCATAGCTGACAGATTTTAATACAAGTTAACACAAAGACAGCATAATGAGCTTAGAAGTTAAAAACAAAATATTTAGACAGAATCCAGCAATGTGAAGCTCACTAGGCCATTTATAAAGTTTCTATTTTACAGAAGGGGGAAGGAAAAAAAAAAAAAAAGAAGAAGAGAAAGCTATAAAACCTCAATTCTAAGCTTCTGTATTTTAAGAAGCCATGGAGTTTATAACAGATCTGTAGCATGGCCATGTGCATTTAGAGAACGGGACAGAGAGAAGCTTCTTCCTCCCCTATGTTTTACAAAAGCTCATTCTTTCTCATAAAAAACTGTTTAAAAAGCTGAAAGACATGTTTCCTACATACAACACTACTTCTAAAAGCAAGTAACTGCAATTCATTTAAAAATGTAAACTTGGTTTCATTTTGCAGTCACTTGCCACCAGCTCTTCAGAGACTAATGCTTGCAGGTCTGCACTGTAACTCCTGAATTTGCTCCTCTTTTTCAGCCCCGAATCAGAGCCAGCATTTGCAGCAGGGCAGTAAAGGGCAAGCCTAGCAGTTCTGCATTGCTGAGCAGCGGTGAAAAAGTGATCAAGTGAATTAATCCATGTAAGTGCAATGATCACTTGCAACTGGTTAATAAAACAGTAAAGAAGAAAAGAAGAGGCTGCATTTAAGACAGCCTCAAGTTCCAAATGTTGCCCTGTCCAAGTTTAGACTGCCTTTCACAACTGAGCTGCTCAACTACTCTCCATCCAATGTTCATAAACAGCTCACAGTCAAACTAGTAGGTAACTTTGCTCTGTGGCTTGTACTACAGGTTATTAAGATTTTCTAATTGTTACTGATTTAGACATCGCAAGAAAATTGCTCCCCAGCATTCACACAGGACATACAAAATAACTTGGTTTGATTCATTTCTCTTCCCCTCACAATTTTTATATGCTGCATCCGAAATTTAGCAATACAATTTCAGACTAAATGCTACACTGCGATGGGCCTGAATCTGCTCTCACCTAAACGGTCTGGAGTTCTCATCTAGGACCAGAATCAAACATTAACCACCAGAAAAGGCTATAACTATTTTTCCAGACAAAACAAAAACCAAAATTTTTTCTAATGTGTGGACTAACAAAAGGGTTGTATGTTCGAGCAAGAAAGCATCCAGCAGCTTGCCACATCTCGTTGCTTTTCAATTGAAAACCAAATTGAATTCTAGAAAAAAAAACTTTGTGTATCAATTTCATAATGTCAGCTTAGATGAAAAATTAGTGAAAATGCCAACAAATTCTTTTAAGATATCCCTCTCAAAAAAAGTGGGTTAATAAGCATGGCAGTTTACTGCAAGGATAACAGTTTAAATTAGATTAAACATAAATCAGACATCTACAGTGGTTTAGCATGCAAGTATAAAACAGCCATAAGCAGTGTTTTTCAATGCTATTGTACGCCAGCCAATAAATGACAGCCCTCTGACTCTGCATGATGGCCCCCATGCTCACACATGCTATCTGCATCAATCCTGACAGCATCTCAACACCCGTGTATGGAGGTACAAGGCCCTGACAGAACATAAAGATCCCCTCACCCCTGTACTTTTGCCGTTTAAGAATTTCTTTTTCTAATCAGGAGAAATTCAGGTTTCCAGAATTGTTATCTTTTATGTGGTCGCTTTTACAGTTTGCTGACAAAGACGAACATACACAGACTTGTAAAACAGCAGTTCAGCAGAGAGGGGGAAGGGGGGGG